CGCGCGCGCCCGCAATTTAGTCGCCGCCGCAGCCCGACCGTGACCGCTCGCCGTCGGCGCCTCCGCCTGCGGCTGTAAAAAAATATCCCACCAGCCAATGGCAGCTTGCAGACCCTGGCAGTCAGTTCCCCTGGCAGTGAGCAGCGCGCAGGCAGTTCGGTGCACGTTTGCAGACCCTGGCAGTTTTGCAGCTCTGCCTCCTCTTCGGCTACCTTCTGGTCCCGTTCTGAGTTGCGGTGGTAGGCCTGCTTTTGCTAGGTAATTTAGGACCTCGCGCGGCCCGCTCGGACCATGACACGCTGTCGGCGCGCTCGCCTGCTGCTGGCAACAAGAAATGTATCCCACCAGCCGATGCGATCTTGGAGGCCTGTTAGGTCGTCTTGAGCCGTCGCAAGGCCAACAAGGAATCCATACCAAAATCGTGAACCAAACTCAAGGAACATACGTTGCTCTGGCCGTTTAAGGCCTTCCTGAAGGACCTTTTGGAGGCCTCTTGGTGGCTTTCTGGAGGCCTCTTGGGCCGCGTTGGGTGCCTCTTGGGGGCCTCTTGGGGGTCTGTTGGCTGCATTTTTGGCCGTCTCAGACACGTTTTGCTGTCATTTGGGGCCGTCTTGGGGCGTTGGAGAGCTGTCCTGAAGGCCGTTTTGGGTGTCTCGGAGGCTTCCTGGGGCGTCGCAGGGCCCTCTTAGGGTCGTCTTGAGGTATTCTTCGGCCGTCATCGGTTACTCTTGCATGCCTCTTGGACGATCTTGGGGTGCTCTTGAGCCGTCTGGGCCGTCGGGGGGCCAATTTGAAGCACCGGCCAACATCCGTCAAACATTGCAGACACATGAAGGACCTCTTGGAGGTTTTTTGGGGCCGCCTTGGCGACATATTTGGCGCGTCCTCGGTCGTCTGGGGCTCTCTTGGACCATCTTGGCGGTCTTGGAGGCACCTTGTGATTATCTAAGAGGCCATCTTGGAGCTATCTTAGACTCTCTCAGGGCCATCTTGGGCGTCTTGGAGGCCATCTTCGGGCCATTTCGGAGGGCCCTGGCTTTCTGGGTGGTCGGCCATCTAGGCCGAATCTCCAGTGGGAGTTGCAAAATCCGCCGCCCCCTCTTGGCTTGCTACAGGGGTGCCCGGCGTGCTAGACTGCGTACGTGTTTGTTTTTGGTGTTGTTGTTTTTGTTATTGGTGTTGTTGTGCCTGTTGTTGTTTGTGTTGTTGTTGTTGAATATTATTACTTCTAAAGAATAATTATTGTTGGGCCCCCTGGTGCACGTCCCCCTCGCCGCGCCTAGGCCGCAGCCACATTTTCATCATTTTCGTGAGGAAGTCTCAGGCAAAACGGGGGAGTCCGGATCCGGTTGTTTTGTTGACGCCCGCTTTCCCTGTCAAAAAACAATATAAAATGACATGTCTTGTTCTAACATAACCAAACTTCAAGAATCCTTTGCAAAAAATGACACGAAGTGCACACTCGCGCGCGCAAGATGAAATCCTTCCAAAACCTTAGTTTTCGTAGCGATTTTAACATAAAAACATGAAAAACCCAATGGTTTTTCAAAAAAAAAGTTTCAAACATTCATCCCGCGCGCTCTTGCGGATTTCTTAGGAAACCCAGTACTTTTTCAACATTTCTGTCAAACGGGCTCTTGCGAGCAACTTTTTCACGTGCTTCGAACTTCTGCAACAACGGTTGCGCGCCTGCCAGGGCCATCATCCCTGTCAAATAATACCATATGGGACACATTCGTTTTTTCTTCGCGCGCGCACGCCGAAATCTTCAATTGCAGGGGGAAAAGTCGTATACTAAGCTAGCTTACAGAAAATGTTACCACAACAAGTCATTGTACCCATGCGCCAGTGTAGTAGCCAAGGTCGTCCGCAGGCCACGAAGTGAGGTGTCCGAACGTCATAGGGCGGGAAGCTGGGTGTGGGTGGTGGCGAAGAGTCGTTTGGAAATTTGGTAGAGCTTGAACCGGCCCCCCCACAAAGTGGGGGTATTGCCCGCCTCCTATGAAAACCCTGGCACTGGTGAGAACGGAGTGTCCCCACGTGCTAGTAATTGTTGTTGTTGTTGTTGGTGTTAGTATTGGTGTTGTTGTTGTTTTTTTTTTTTTTTTTTGTTTTTTTCACTTCTGAAGAATAGTTATTGTTGATCCTTCCCGCCCGGTGCACATTACACCTTTTCAATTGAGGTGCCCTTCCCGGGGCTCGCACCTGGGTTTTTCTCCGGGAAAGTCTTGAGGCTCAAACTGTGTCGTTGGCCCCCGGTTTACAATAACAACGGCTCCTGCCTGATACTTCTTCACAATGTGTTGAAGAATCGCGCTCCCGCCCGAGATTTCCTTGCATTTTACTCAGGAGTCGTGCTCTCGCTTGGGACGTCCTTACAATTTATTCAGGAATCGCTCTCTCGGCGCTCTGGAGTCGCGCTCTCGCTGGAGTTGCGTTGGAATTTCCCGCAATTTGCTCAAGCGCCGCGCTCCCGACACTCAGGCACCCACGAGTCGCGCTCACGCCCAGGAGTCCCTCACATATTATTTAGGAATCGGGATCTCGCTGCCCTTCGTGGCCCCGTTGCAGCCCTGCGTGGCCTCCTCGCTGCCCTTCGTGGACCCGTTGCACCCCTTCGTGGCCCCCTCGGTGTCCTTCGTGAACCCGTTGCAGCCCGTCGTTGCCCCCTCGCTGCCCTTCGTGGCTCCGTTGCAGCCCTTCGTGGCCCCCTCGCTGCCCTTCGTGGACCCGTTGCAGCCCTTCGTGGCCCTCTCGCTGCCCCTCGTGGCCCCCTAGCACCCCTTCGTGGCCCCCTAGCACCCCTTCGTGGGCCCGTTGCAGCCCTTCGTGGCCCACTCGCTGCCATTCGTGGCCCCCTCGCTGCCCTTCGTGGCCCCCTCGCTGCCCTTCGTGGTTTCGTTGAAGCCCTTCGTCACCCACCTGGTCTGAGCTAGGCCCGAACGCTGTCCGCATCGCATCGCGCGGGGCGCACCGAATTCCCCAAAGGCACCGCCCACATGCGAGAGTCACGCCCGTTTTGGCATACGCCGTACACGTTTCGCGGCCCAATGTGGAGTTCCAGCGACGGTTCCGGATGATGAGTCCACATGTGGGCGTTACGCTCGTTCCCGCCGACCCCTCACACGCTTCGTGGTTCCATAGGGCGCCCCACCGAAGGCCCTAGAGGCACCGCCCACATGTAGCCGTCACGCCCGTTTAGGCATACCTCCTTCTTTGTTTCGGGGCCCCATTGGGCGCTCCATTTAGGGCCCCAGCGGCAGGATTCGCATGGGGGCGTGGCGCCCGCTTAGGTACACCCATCAAACGTTCCGTGGCCCCATAGAGAGTTTCACCGAAGGTCCCAGAGGCAACGTCCGCATGCGGGTGTTACGCTTGTTTCGACAGACCCCTCACACGTTTGACCCCTCAGAGGGAGCTCCACCGAGTGCCCAAACGGCAGGGTTCGCATTGCGGCACCGCCTCATTTTGGCAGACCCCTCAGACGTTTCGTGGCCCCATAGGCCCAGATGCCAGGATTCGCACGGCGGCGCCTCTTCATCTTGACACACCCTTCACACGTTTCGTGGCACCATAAGGAGCTCGACCGACGGCCCAAATGGCAGGGTTCGCATGGCGGCGTCGCACCCATGTCGGTACACCTCTCACGCTTCGTCCCCCCACAGGGAAGCCCGTCGAATGTCCCAGTAGCTGGGTTCGCATGTCGGCATCTCACCTATTTCGGCACACCCTTCACGCGCTTTTTGGCCGTACAGGGAACCCCGCCTAATGCCCCAGTGGTTGGGCTCGCATGGCGGTGTCGCACCTATTTCGGCACACACCTCACACGCTTTTTGGCCGCACTGGGAGCTCCCTTTGCTTCGCCCCCCTTGCCCTTCGGCGCTCACGCCTGCATCTGGTTGGGTCCTTCGCCAGGTTAGGTTTTGAGGATCCGCGTGCGGATGCATGCCTTCATCGGGGGAGGGGCATGCGCGGAAGCCGCTCCCAGCATACATTCAAGCACGCATCTCATTCTCTCCATTCCATCATCGAGCCAGACTGTGTGGTGCAAACCTACCCCGGCTTGCCTGCTTCCTAACTCGGCCGCCCGAGTGCATGTGTGGATCGAGCAGCGGGCGCCAGCCCAAGTAGGGTCACCGTTATTCTCCTTTGCCCCAACCCCTCTTCCACTCCAGACCGCCCGTGGGACCAGCCAAGGATAACTGGGAGACCAGGATGCAGCTGAGCAAAGACTTCCGGAACAGCGTGGAGAGAGTGATCGTTTCCCGCCCAGCCATAGCTCCGTCGATGGTTTGTTAAGTGATGGGGCTGGGGCACACGTCGCCATGCCGCCTTGCTTAGAAAAGCGTTGTGATCCGGTGGATTGGCGATCGTTATGATGACGACGATCACGACAGCGAAGGCAAAAACGACGACGATTGACCGGTGATGCGTAGTATATCGATGGTCAAGGAGATGGTGGCGGTGATGATGCTGATATTGAGGAGGGCGATGATGCTGATGATGGTGGTGATGCTGATGACGACGTTGATGATGATGATGATGATGATGATGATGATGATGATGATCATGATGATGATGATGATGATGATGATGATGATGATGATGCTGATGATGATGATGATGATGATGATGATTCTGATTATGATGATGATGATGATGATGATGATGATGATGATGATGATGATGATGATGATGATGATGATGATGTTGACGATGGTGACGTCATTGTTGTTAATGATGGTAATGGTGATGGTGATGATGATGGTGTGATAATGGCGACGTCGATGAGGCTGCTGATGATGATTACCTGATAATGATGATGTCAATGCTGATGATGCTGCAGCTGGTGATGATTCTGATCACACTGACAATGACGATGATGTGGCTGCTGATGTTGATCATGATTATGCTTATGGTTATGATTCGGATGATGATGACGATGATGATGATGCTGATGATGACGCTGATGATAGTGATGACGATGACGCTGTCAATGATGATGCTTATGGTGATGATGATGATGCTGATGATGATGGTGGTGATGTTGATGATGATGAGGTGGAGGAGGATAACGAGGATGATGAGGATGATGATGCTATTGGTGTTGATGGTGATGGTGATGACGATGCTGGTGGTGTTGATGAGGATGATGAGGATTACAAGGTCGACCATAATGTCAATTTCGGTGACACTGCCCGTCGGGAGGTCGGATTTGGGGATTCCCAGGTGACCTGCGGGGTCGGACGACCCATCTCGATCCTAGCCGATCTTTGATCGCCCTAATGGCGCCTGCAACCCCGTGTGGACGCAGGTGGGATCCGTCGCTGCACAGGCTACAGACGGCCACTGGCCAATGGCCGTGGCCGCGGCGCGGCCCCGAGGCCGTGTGCGAGCGCCACCCGGACGGCAGCGCGGACCCGCTGGCGGCGCACGTCGCGCGCGACGGTGCTCGGCGGCCTGGAATCGGCGTCACCCCAGCATAATTCTATGTGTGCGTCGCCCCCACAGGGCGACGCGCGCAATATGCGTCGGTGCGGGCGCTTTCTGGCCGCACCGCTCGGGAAACGATGTACTAGAAGATGGGTATACTTCGGGCGCACGCCTCCAAGGAGGACATGTAGTACTAGTATGTCCTTGTGCATCACATGGAACCCCGCAGCGGTTCGGCCAAGCGCAGAGGGGGTAGGGGGAGGGGGGATCCCGATGAAAAAGGTACACATACCCTTACCTTTCCCTCGTTTCCCCCTGTTGGATCTCCTGGGAGGCCCTCGTCGCCACCGCTGGATTTGCCTCAACTCTCTGGTCAGGGTCAGAACGCACCCCAAGAGAGGTCCCGTAGCGGTATCTGTACTTTTTTGTTTCCCCAAATCTGGCTTGATCCCGCTGAATCTCGCGTGATCCCTCCTAATCCAGTCTGATCCCGTTCCATCTGGCTCAACCTGGGGCTGACAATCCAGCCTGGCCGGGCTCAATGGCCTTCTTCGCGTCAAGCATACCATCCCTGAATCGTTCTGACGAAGGCTTTCCAGGAGATGCCTCTTGAAGTCGGCCACGCGCAGCAGGGGGTGGGGGAGGGGGAAGGGCGTCTTAGAAACACACCCCTGCTTCTTAGACGGCGCGGGCCTTGTCCGTAGACGCAAGGCTGGCGCCTTCTAAGATCAGGCGATCGCAAGCATGGATCAAGGGTGCGTGGATTAGCGGCGGGTCCCGTTTCCATGGGAAATCGCGGACTGCCGCCGCCGAGCGGGCCGGAACCGGCCGCATGTTGGGAAGGGCACCTCCCCCGATCCATGGATTTGGCGACCGCGCGCCAAATCCATGGATCGTTAATCCATGTTTGCGCGCCCCCGATTCTTAGAAGGCGCGGGCGGTGTCCGTAGATGCAAGGCTGGCGCCTTCTAAGAAGTAGCTCCCTTCCAAGAAGCCTTTCCCCCTCCCCCTACCCCCTTGTGCGCGCAGCTGAGGAGGGGATCTGCCAGCACACGCGCGCACGCATCCAACTCCCTCACGATGACGACGACGACGACGACGATGACGTTGGCGACGACGACGGCGACGTTGGCGACGACGATGACGGCGACGACGACGACGACGGCCGACGACGACCCCCCTGTGCGCGCCGCCAACCTGTGCACGGGTCTGCACCCTGCAGGAGCTCATTGAGCTCGTTTCTTTATAGCTTGGGGCATGACGGGCGTCATGCCCCCCGGCCCCCTCCACCCCCCCAATGACGTAACGCTCCCCCCCCCAGTGCGTTCCGGGTACTGCCGCTGTGCGCATCGTGATCCGCATCGGTGTCAGCTAGGAATCCGCATATGAGTCTGGTCCGCAGTCGTCGTCGTCGTCGTCGTCGTCGTCGACGTCGTCGTCGTCGTCGCCGACGTCGTCGTCGTTGTCGTCGTCGTCGTCGTTGTCGCTCGTCGCCCGTCGCTCGTCGCTCATTGCTCATCGTCGTCGGGCGCGCGGACGCGGCTGGAGCCAGTTTTTTTGTTTATTCTTTCGGGCCGATGACGGCAATCATCTGGGGGGGCTGGAGGGGGCCGATGACGTCGCGATTCGCGCCGGCGGCGTCCGGGAACGCCTAGGAATCACCGATGACGGGTAGCAGCAGCATGCCGGTGGCGATCTGCACCACAACGCCTGTGTACACCATAGTGCCTGCGTGCACCACAGCGCCTGTGTACCCCACACCGCCTATGTACACGACAGCAGCCCTGTGCATCACAGCGCCAGTGTGGGCCACAGTGCCTGCTGGCGCCACAGCGCTTGTGTACACCGCAGCGCCTGCGTACACCACATCAGCCGTGCGCAACACAACACCAGTGTACACCACAATGCCTGCGTGCACTCAGCATGGCACCAGTGAGAATACCATTCTGCGGTGCACGCTGAGACGCGCACGTGCGCTGTAGTGCCGACCCGCACGACAGGGGGGAAGAGCGACGGTGGAATAGGAGGACGAGGAGGAGGACGAAGAGGAGGAGGAGGAGGCGGAGGTGGAGGAGGGAGGAGGAACACACGTCGCATTCTATTCTCAGCACTTCCCTGGCGTGGCGTTTAGCTGTCCGCAGCAGATCCTCACCGACATGCTCCTTCGACCTGTCCTGTGCACGCAGGCACACTGGTGTACACCAGCGCTGCGTTGTACGTGTGCGCGGATGTTGTGGTGTAGACAGTCGCTGTGGTGTGCACAGGCGTTGCGGTGCACGCAAGCACTGTGGTGTACACAGGCGCTGCGTTACACACGGCTGTTGCGGTGTACACAGGCGTTGTGGTGTACACGAGCGCTGTGGTGCACGCGAGCACTGTGGTGTACACAGGCGCTGTGGGGTAGATCGCAACCTACCTGCTGCTCGCGTCGTTGTCGTCGTCGTCGTTGTCGTCGTCGTCGTCGTCGTCGTCGCTCGTCGCTCATCGTTGTCGTGCGCGCGGGCGCGGCTGTTGTGCCTGAGCCGCACGGCGGTGGGGGGCGTTACGTCATACCCCCCCCCGCCCGCCCCCCCCCCCCCCCCATGACGCCCGTCATCGCCGATGAGAAAGAAACGCGCTCATTTCGATTCCCCCGATCCGAGTCGACTGGATGTCGGCGGCCTCGGGTTCCGAGCCGGTCCGATTGCGGATTCTTGTTTCGGCTCCGTCGGACGGGGTTAGGACGAGGATAAATCCGTTCCAGAGCGTTTCAGATTGCTCTCAGAGCGTCCCAGAACGCTCTGAGAAGGCCGCGGCGCCTGAGATATCCTCCAAAGCCGCCTGATCTTTGAGATTCTCGATTTGTCGTCACCCGATTTTATCCTCGTCCTGACGTCAACTTGCTCCGATTTCCCAACGGAGGCCTTGCTAGCATGCCGATTCGCCGATACGACGTATCCCGAATTGGCCTCCGGTTTCCGTCGATCCGAGTTGTCGATCCGATTCTGGGCTCTCCTGGGTGCTCGGCGGCTTGGAATCCCCGCACCTGTGCAAGAGTTGTCACCTTGACTGGTCGGAGTCATTGTATCGGCCCTCTTTCCGGCCGTGTTTTCGCAACGTCTGTCGCCGTTTGTGCGCTTGTTGGGACGCTCGGTAGCGCGGGGGAGATCGAGCATTGCACGCAAGGGCTCTGAAGTGGCCCTAAGCTGCCACGGCAGGCCTTACAAATACCGGAAAGGTGCGCGTTTCCTCCCCCCCGGTCATTTCCCATCGCTAACGAACGCCCGACGTGTGCAAGAATCGACACCTTGGCCGGTCCCACATCCGTGGTGGCCGAACGGGCGGGATTGAGAAACGAGGGTGCGACAGCTGCTGCGCGCAGCCGGATTCGGCTCAGCCGCCACGCCTTCTTCTCCATACGTGGTCGCCACTGGCTCCTGGAGGCTCTGTGGAAGACCAGTCGCGTTCCTGCCAGGGCCCAGGATGGCCCTGGCCAGGCAGAGCGCAGGCATGCAGCCCATGGTGCTGGCAGGCAGGCAGCCCAGGCGTAGCCGTACGGCTGCCTCGCCTGCGCCTTCCCGGCGCCCCGCCGGCACCGCAGGCACCAGCCTGTCCGAGCTGCTCGTCTGGCGCCTGGCACAGATGGGAGGGGGCTGCCGCCTCGACCGCCAGGTGGTCTCCGTTTGGCGTTGCGTTGCGTGAGGGCGGTCTTGGAGCGGGGTATCGTCGAGAAATGAAAGAATCGGGTACAGCCAGGACCCCGGGAAAGGGGACCCGGTTGGCTGTAGGGCCCCGGAGCCTGCAAATTGGCCAGAATCACTGAACCAGGTCTGCCGTAGCTGGTGTTTTTCGGGTGACGGAAGTTCGGGTTAGTGGAACGGGGCTTGGGGGGCGTCCCCCAGTACACATCATTAAACCAAGTCCCACTACACCCAGTTCTGCCAACGCCCGTAAGAAGCCTTACAGCTAGACCAAGGTAATTATAAGATCGAGGTCGGGTTTGGGAGGGTACCCGAAGGTTCTTCGTGTGTGTTGGGCGTTCTCGTGCATCCTGGGGGAGAGTACCCTCGAGTGATCTCATGGCTTTGGATGTTTTGGCCGGCGAAGGGTCTCATGTTCCTGAAGGATGTTCGTCTGTCTTAGGTCCGACTGCAACCCCACTAGCACAATGAAGACGTAACCTAACTGAGGTCCCCCATCTCTGCACTTTGGGCGGTTTGGCTTGGTGCATCTGCGGAGAAGGTCCCTTTACACTTCATTATTTGAGCCTTTTGACTTTAAGTTCGCGCCCAGGCCCTTGGGATTTTTTGAAAGCTTCGACTTGGGGGGGTCTGCGAGGGATCGTCGACAGAGTAGAGGCCCACAGGAGGGACAGCAGGGAGATTTTTACCAGGCCCAGGCGAATCGTACTGGGCACTTTGTCAGAGTGGTCTCGCGCTTCTTGGAAACAATATTTTGGGTCTCTTGGGGGTCTCCTTGGGGCCTCTTGGGGGCCTCTTGGGGGCCTCTTGGGGGCCTCTTGGGGGCCTCTTGGGGCCTCTCTTGGGGCCTTCGTGGGGCCTCCTGGGGCCCTCTCGGGGGGGAAAGGTTGAGTTTTCGGTTCGTGGACTCCCCTTGGGCCTCTCTTGGGACCGTCTCAGGGCCCTTTTGAGCCGTCTGGGACGCCTCTTGGACCGTCTTGCTGCCCTCTTCGGCTGTCTTGGGATTGTCATGGGGGCCTCTTGGGCCGTCATAGGGGCTTCTAGGGCCGTCGTGGGGCCATCGTGGGGCCTCTCGGGCCGTTCGGCCGCGCAGAGGCGTCACCATGAGAATCCTGGGGTGTCCCGGAGCAACCTGGATTTGAGGTTCAACACCCCCGTTGGCTGTTTGGTGACACGGCGGGGCCCCTTACCAGACAGTAAACAGGAGATAGGAAACAGCACTGGAGAGACAAACGGCCAAACAACACATGACAACACATAACACATGACAAGAGACCACACACACCTTCGCAGTCTTGCCCCTCCGCTCCGGAGGGGGACGACGGAAATACATGCACGTTTATATGTTCACCATCTCCATCTTTCTATATATATGTAGGGTAGACATACCAGGTAACGATCAATATTTAGGTGTAGAATTATGAGCACACAGAAGACCCTTCGGTGCTCAGCGTCGTATACCATTGTGGCGCCTTGGCGTTGGGGCCCAGCGGGTCATCAGAACCGCGGGCAGCAAATCGTTGGTGGCGTTCTCAGCTGCTTTCCGCTCTTTGCGCCGATCGACGCCTGGATCTCCGTTGTAGCGAGTTTCCATTGCATGGAGTTGAAGGTTATCGCTGTGCAGTTCATCGGATGACGGGTGCCAGGGATTGGAGTGGGAGGAGGCGGTGGACGTGGTGGTTGTGGATGCAAGAGCAATGAGCATCTCGACCAAGCCGTCAATCTGCGATCTTGGAGCCTCGAGGTTCGAGGCCAAGGAGAGGAGGAACAGGGTCAGGAGGAGGATACCTTTTGGAGGAGGAGGTGGTGGAGGCAGAGGTGGTGGGATAGTGATAGACCTCCTACCACGTCGATGAGTAGCGAATTGGCAGTTTTCGGTTCGCGAGATGGCGTCGCGGCCGTCATTTTTGCGGGTCCAGGTCCGTCGGTTTCGGTCCCAGGCCGTTGTCTTTAAAGGTTGTTTTGTTTCAAGGGAAATTTGTCCACCGCCGAACCAGGTCAGGATGAGGATACATTTTCGAGGAGGAGGTGGTGGAGGCAGAGGTGGTAACAGTGGACGCACGAGGAACGACCAGCAGCATGTTTGCGCGGCAGCCGCCGCAGGCATCAGCGGCTGCGGCAGCAGCAGGATCGGGGCCCCTGGCCAGGAAGGGCGGCGGGACCAGGAGCAAGCGCAAACAAGTGGGAGCAAGTGTGGTGGCAGTGGGAGCAAGAAGAAGACACGTTGAAATGGCATCAATCAGGCAACCAACCAACTTCTCCAGAACATGTTTGCTTGCCCGACGTGCAGGCAGACTGCGGCGCATGGGGCGCAGAAGACCAGGGTCCACCAGACAAGCGTGCACGGAGGAAGTGGAACAAGGAGACCTGGACCAGGAGGATCAAAAGGTGGGATGATGATGATGATGATGATGATGATGATGATGATGATGATGATGATGATGATGATGATGATGATGATGATGATGATGAGGATGAGGATGAGGAGGAGGAGGAGGAGGAGGAGGAGGAGGAGGAGGAGGAGGAGGAGGGAGGAGATGGAGGAGGAGGAGGAGGAGGAGGGAGGAGGAGGAGGAGGAGAGGAGGAAGAGGAGTTGGAGTAGGCGTAGGAGTAGGAGTACGAGGAGGAGGAGGAGGAGAAGGAGGATGAGGAGAAGGAGAAGGAGAAGGAGGAGGAGAGGAGGGGAGGGAGGAGGAGGAGGAGGCGGAGGAGCAGAGAGGAGGAGGAAGAGGAGGAGGGGAGGAGGAGGGGAGGAGGAGGGAGATGAGGAGGAGGTGAACGTCGACGCAGTGCAGAGGCAGAGGATAAGCATGGACCATTGATTGGCCTCGGTCCTAAGGCCCTCAGGGGCAACGTTGGAGGGGATAGGCCCAGAGGGGGCAACATCGACCTGACATTGGCGATACATCGCCGATAGATCTGCGATAGGCCCGTGATAGCAAAACCGCACGTTCCCGTGCGGATCGGGCTATCGGGTCCCTAACGGCGATCAATGGACGATTGGGGGTCGATGCGTCCCCCCGAACCTAACCCTCCTAGCGTTGCCCCTCAGACTCAGGTCCCGCCATAAGACCATGGATTAGACTGGGGATGAGGAGGAGGAGGATGAGAAGGAGGATGATGAGGAGGAGGATGAGGAAGAGGAGGAGGAGGAGGAGGAGGAGGAGGAGGAGGAGGAGGAGGAGGAGGAGGAGGAGGAGGAAGGGGTGGAGAGTGAGGGAGGGAGGAGAGGGAGGAGGAGAAGGAGGAGGAGGAGGAGGAGGAGGAGGAGGCAGGACTGGGGTCGTAAGCGGGCTTGGGGCTCGGGGCCACTGGTGCTCCGACTCGAGGTCGTGCTCAGCTCCAGCTGGCGGAGCGAGCCGCGCCGCGTGCGGCAGCTGGAAGAGGCGGACCGACTTCCCGCCGCCGCGCGCGCCATGGCCCTCCCGTCTAGAGGTGCACCTGTTGTGCCCTGCAGGGCTCCCAGATGGGCCTCCTGAGGCCCAACATGAGCGCGAAAGGTTCACGTTGATTCACCCCTCCATTCTCCATTTATCGCCCTCCCATTCAGCAACGCCCGAGGCCCTCAGGCAAGCGGGCCCTGATGGCGGGGGACGAAAAATGACGCGAACTCGGAGGTTCGCGCGGATTTCTCGGATCGGCGCTGGAGCCCCCCCGTGGTGTTTCCGGCGTCGCCCTTGGCGCGCTCCTTGCTCTAGGGAGGGGGCTCAGCGCCGAGGCGAGAAGTCCGCGCGGGCCTCCGCAAGCATATGGTTATGCCGTGGTTTGTCGATTGGTCCTCGAAGATATTTCCTAATCATCCTGTGGTGTTGGGTCCTCGTTTTGAAGAGACGTCGCCCCGCGTTCCTCCTCCTCCTTCCTCCTCCTCCCCTTCCTCTCCCCTCCTCCCCCTCCCACACCCATTCTGGCACACCCCTCACACGTTTCGTGGCCCCATAGGGAGCTCCACCGAAGGCCCCAGTGGCTGCGCCCGCATGCGGTTCCACCCCCCATTCTGGCACACCCCTCACACGTTTCGTGGCCCCATAGGGAGCTCCACCGAAGGCCCCAGTGGCTGCGCCCGCATGCGGTTCCACCCCCCATTCTGGCACACCCCTCACACGTTTCGTGGCCCCATAGGGAGCTCCACCGAAGGCCCCAGTGGCTGCGCCCGCATGCGGTTCCACCCCCCATTCTGGCACACCCCTCACACGTTTCGTGGCCCCATAGGGAGCTCCACCGAAGGCCCCAGTGGCTGCGCCCGCATGCGGTTCCACCCCCCATTCTGGCACACCCCTCACACGTTTCGTGGCCCCATAGGGAGCTCCACCGAAGGCCCCAGTGGCTGCGCCCGCATGCGGTTCCACCCCCCATTCTGGCACACCCCTCACACGTTTCGTGGCCCCATAGGGAGCTCCACCGAAGGCCCCAGTGGCTGCGCCCGCATGCGGTTCCACCCCCCATTCTGGCACACCCCTCACACGTTTCGTGGCCCCATAGGGAGCTCCACCGAAGGCCCACATGCGGCGACCCATAGGGAGCTCCACCGAACTGCGCCGCATGCGGTTCCACCCCCCATTCTGGCACACCCCTCACACGTTTCGTGGCCCCATAGGGAGCTCCACCGAAGGCCCCAGTGGCTGCGCCCGCATGCGGTTCCACCCCCCATTCTGGCACACCCCTCACACGTTTCGTGGCCCCATAGGGAGCTCCACCGAAGGCCCCAGTGGCTGCGCCCGCATGCGGTTCCACCCCCCATTCTGGCACACCCCTCACACGTTTCGTGGCCCCATAGGGAGCTCCACCGAAGGCCCCAGTGGCTGCGCCCGCATGCGGTTCCACCCCCCATTCTGGCACACCCCTCACACGTTTCGTGGCCCCATAGGGAACTCCACCGAACGCTCCAGTGGCTGCGCTCGCATGCGGTTCCACCTCCCATTTCGGCACATCCCTCACACGCTTCGTGGGTGGCCCCATAGGGAGCTCCACCGAACGCCCCAGTGGCTGCGCCCGCATGCGGTTCCCCCCCTCATTTCGGCACACCCCTCACACGGTTCGTGGCCCCATAGAGAGCTCCACCGAATGCCCCAGTGGTTGCGTTCGCATGCGGTTCCGCCCCTTTTTTCTGCACGCCCTTCACACGTTTCGTGGCCCCATAGGGAGCTCCACCGAACGCCGCAGTGGCTGCGCTCGCATGGGGTTCCACCCACCATTTCGGCACACCCCTCACACGTTTCGTGGCTCCATAGGGGGCTCCACCGAAGGCCCCAGTGGCTGCGCTGGCATGCGGTTCCACACGCCATTCTGGCACGCCCCTCGCACGTTTCGTGGCCCCATAGGGGGCTCCACCAAAGGTCCCAGTGGCACTGCCCGTTTGCGTCCGCCACCACCCAGCACAGCCTTTGCTCCCTGCGCTTCACCCACCCAGAACAGCGCTTCGTAGCCCTATAGGGAGCTCCACCACAGGTCCCAGCGGCACCGCCCGCATGCGTCCGCCACCACCCTGCGCAGCCCTTGCTCCCTGCCTGCGTTTCACCTACCCAGTACAGCGTTTCGTGGCCCCGTAGGGAGCTCCACCGAAGGTCCCAGTGGCACCGCTCGCATGCGTCCGCCACCACCCTGCGCAGCCCTTGCTGACCGCGTCTCACCCACCCAGTACAGCGTTTCGTGGCCCCATAGGGAGCTCCACCGAAGGTCCCAGTGGCACCGCCCGCATGCGTCCGCCACCGCCCAGCACAATTGCGGCATTCACGACTGCATATGGTTGGGTCCTTCGCCTGGCTAATTTTTACAGTCTTGGGCTTCCTTTGGGTCTTCTATCCCTATCCATATCCTTGTGCTTGGCATCACCTCACTTCAATGACGATCTGAAGGGTACCCTCAGTTTCTGAGGGCACATCCCTTGCCCTCGCTTTTTGCTCGCCCATCGCAGGGATAGGGACATGTTCGAGGCTTATTACTACGGGCCCCGAGTTTGTCAGACGACGACTCGGAATGCAAGGCTGGCCCTGGGGAAGGGCAAGGGGGTTCGGGGCCTGGTTTCCTCGGGGCCCGTTTGCTTCATGCCAAACGCGCTTCTCCTCCGCTTGTCGTGTTTTGGATCGAGGCTCCACGCCGTGCACGCGCTCCAGCACCCACGCGAAAGGGTTGCGCGTTGTGAGCGTGTTCCTCCCTCCACCCGCGCGCCCCTTCCCCCGCCCGCCGCCCGCCGTGCCCGATTCGGCCACGTGCATCCCACGCCTGCTCCAGAACACGGCTAGGACTCTCGGCGCTGCGGCAAAAATTAGCCTGGCGGAGGACCCAACCATATGCAGTTGTGAATGCCGCAATTGTGCTGGGTGGTGGCGGACGCATGCGGGCGGTGCCACTGGGACCTTCGGTGGAGCTCCCTATGGGGCCACGAAGCGCTGTACTGGGTGGGTGAGACGCGGTCAGCAAGGGCTGTGCTGCGTGGTGGCGGACGCATGCGAGCGGTGCCATTGGGACCTTCGGTGGAGCTCCCTATGGGGCCACGAAGCGCTGTACTGGGTGGGTGAAACGCAGGCAGGGAGCAAGGGCTGCGCAGGGTGGTGGCGGACGCATGCGGGCGGTGCCGCTGGGACCTTTGGTGGAGCTCCCTGTAGGGCTACGAAGCGCTGTTCTGGGTGGGTGAAGCGCAGGTAACCAGGGGTGTGCTGGGTGGTGGCGGACGCAAGCGGGCAGTGCCACTGGGACGTTTGGTGGAGCCCCCTATGGGGCCACGAAAACGTGCGAGGGGTGTGCCAGAATGGGATGTGGAACCGCATGCGGGCGCAGCCACTGGGCCTTCGGTGGAGCTCCCTATGGAGCCACGAAGCGTGTGAGGGGTGTGCCGAAATGGGGGGGTGGAGCCGCATGCGAGCGCAACCACTGCGGCGTTCGGTGGAGCTCCCTATGGGGCCACGAGACGTGTGAATGGCGTGCCGAAAAAAGGGGTGGAACCGCATGCGAGCGCAGCCACTGGGGCCTTCGGTGGAGCTCTCTATGGGGCCACGGAACATGTGAGGGGTGTGCCGAAATGGGGGTGGGAACCACATGCGAGCGCAGCCATTGGGGCGTCCGGTGGAGCTCCCCATGGACCCACCCACGAAGCGTGTGAGGGGTGTGCCGAAATGGGGGGTGGAACCGCATGCGGGCGCAGCCACTGGAACGTTCGGTGGAGCTCCCTATGGGGCCACGAAACGTGTGAGGGGTGTGCCAGAATGGGGTGGAACCGCATGCGGGCGCAGCCACTGGGGCCTTCGGTCCCTATGGGGCCACGAAAAGGGGTGTGCCAGGGGGGTGGAACCGCATGCGGGCGCAGCCACTGGGGCCTTCGGTGGAGCTCCCTATGGGGCCACGAAACGTGTGAGGGGTGTGCCAGAATGGGGGTGGAACCGCATGCGGGCGCAGCCACTGGGGCTTCGGTGGAGCTCCCTATGGGGCCACGAAGCGTGTGAGGGGTGTGCCAGAATGGGGGGTGGAACCGCATGCGGGCGCAGCCACTGGGGCCTTCGGTGGAGCTCCCTATGGGGCCACGAAACGTGTGAGGGGTGTGCCAGAATGGGGGGTGGAACCGCATGCGGGCGCAGCCACTGGGGCCTTCGGTGGAGCTCCCTATGGGGCCACGAAACGTGTGAGGGGTGTGCCAGAATGGGGGGTGGAACCGCATGCGGGCGCAGCCACTGGGGCCTTCGGTGGAGCTCCCTATGGGGCCACGAAACGTGTGAGGGGTGTGCCCAATGGGGGTGGAACCGCATGCGGGCGCAGCCACTGGGGCCTTCGGTGGAGCTATCCCTATGCGGGCCACGCCACGAACGTGTGAGGGGTGTGCCGTGCAGAACTGGGGGGTGTGCCCACCGCGCGGGCGCAACCAGCATGGGGCCTTCGGTGGAGCTCCCTATGGGGCCACGCGCCGTGGGTGCCACGGGGGGTGGAGTGCCAGAATGGGGGGTGGAACCGCATGCGGGCGCAGCCACTGGGGCCTTCGGTGGAGCTCCCTATGGGGCCACGAAACGTGTGAGGGGTGTGCCAGAATGGGGGTGGAACCGCATGCGGGCGCAGCCACTGGGGCCTTCGGTGGAGCTCCCTATGGGGCCACGAAACGTGTGAGGGGTGTGCCGAAATGGGTGTGCGGGACGCATGCGGACGGCAGCACTGGGGCCTTCGGTGGAGCTCCCTGTGGGGCCACGAAACGTGTGAGGGGTGTTCCGAAATGGGTGTGCGGGACGCATGCGGACGGCAGCCATGGGGCCTTCGGTGGAGCTCCCTGTGGGGCCACGAAACGTGTGAGGGGTGTTCCGAAAATGAGGGGGGGGAACCGCATGCGGCGCAGCCACTGGGGCCCCTTCCCCCTCCCCCTCTCACCTCAGCTGGCTTCCTCGATCCCCGCCCGTCACTTCCCCCTTTC